GTACTAGAAGTGTTAAGCATTGAAACAATAAGTAATTGGCAAAAAAAATATATGCTTGCTTTAATTAGAGCAGTGTAAACAGTTTTTAAATATCTTCAATTAATTTATCTCTACAAATTATGTACTTATACTTAAAAATACTAGACCTTCTCACCAATTTGTTTCTGTTTATCAACTTTAATACTTTAGCGAGAGTTTAGTATTCTAAATAAAAACAGTAAAGAAACTTAGTACAAAACTTGAAACCAAACTTAATATCGGTATAAGTTTCATTTATTTTTTGTTAAATAAATTTTTCTTTTGTTTATAGTATATTCTAATATTAGCAATTCAAAATGATTAATCATTTAACTGTTAATTACGGATTTCTTGATCAGCTTTCTTCGAATTTATATTTACATACATAATGTTTTATTAACAGGTCTAATATCTGATGAGAGGCTTGCGAAACATACTAGCAGCTACTGAGTTTATTCCTGAGCCTATACTAAAAAACCACGTTCTAATAAAAAGGGTAGGAGAAGGTTCCCAATGAAAGTTCCCACGCTAAATATAATCGCAAAAATACTCACTACAAAAACTAAATAGATGTTTAACTCTACCTAATAACGGTAGGGATCAATAGGTCTACGCTTGGCATACAGCTTGACAAAGTAACCCAACCTAACCTTGCCTAAAATTCTTTTGTATAAATATTAATAACACTTAATTCATTAATTTAAAAAAAATGCCATTTTATTAATAGTGTCAAAACAATCTCGGTGATAAGTAAGCTGGACATTGATGACAATGAGTGCTAAGCTTATACCTTGGTGATTATCAATAAAAGTAACAAGCGCATTTAAGTCAGCAGTAATGAATAACATACTCTGGGAAACTTCGATTATGTTCACAATTTAAGTGAATTTACTTCATTTTAGTGCTTATAGACTCAATTTTTTTTTTAGAATCTTCAATATATAAATATTTATTTGAAAGATTCAATACCATATTAGCATTCCGAAAGAACTACAAAATAGCTATTTGCAGCTGTAAAAACGAAATCATATAAGATGAAATACATTTACAAGAAATTAATTTTAGTATCTCGAAATTTTTTGCCTTTTTTCTGGTGCACTTCTACTGAACTCAATATATTGTTTTAGTTATCCCCAATTGGGTTTTAAACATTAACCGACCAAAATATTTTTAACAATTGCGGATGATTCTTTTCATTTTAAACAATTCTATTTAAAAAAATCTTTAAAAATCTATAATATCTACTATTAACACTGATGAAATAAAATTCTTATGAGGCTTTCTTTTCTATACATTATTTAACCATTAGTCATTGTTATTCATCATCCGTATTTCGGTGCTATGTAGCAGACCGTTTGAAATAAGCAATATGTGAAGTCCTAATGTTTATTCAACTAGAGAAGATTTGACTTTGTATGTATCTACTAAGTTTTTGGTAATACCTAATGGCAACTGTAATTCTTCGTATGATCTTAAAAATAATATTATTATTGTTAATATTAACAATTATTTATAGATACATATATTAAATCCTACATAATTTTAGAAATGTCGTTATTGACAGTAGCGTGGGGTCCAAACTGTTAGGACGGTGTGCGGGTAATATGTACTCTATTTTAACCTAATTCATTTGTATCGCTTTTTCTATATTTAGTATAGAAATTACAGCGCATACATATATAAGATTGTTGCACCCGATGATAACAATATCAATCGGCATATGTCAAAAGTATGACACTTTTGTAACGTATCACATTTATAGCTATAAAAAACTATACTCTCAACCCTCGTAATTTAATATAAATATATCTAACGTCAAACAGATAAGCACAATAAAAGTAATGCTAATCTTATCAAATTTAATTCAATTTCAATTAATAGTTACAATTCAAACTTAAAAAGAATTTACAGCTAATATTTTACTTTTGTCTTCCAAGTTCGGCGACAATAATAAAAATACAAAAAAAATTGAAAGAAAAATTGACCAACTTTTTTATTAAATTTTCATAAATCTAAGCACAAAAGTTCAATAAATAAATAAATTTAAAAAAATTTATGAACATCGGGGACCTCGTTTTTTACACTGACAAACATAAACAAGTCAAACACCAGACAGTTTACTATACACGAAAAATTTAAAAATAAAAATAAAACGTTTCTCTAATAACAATAAATTAATTAATAAATGAAAAAGTCAAGAAAAAGAATTGTAATCACAATTTTACTTAATATACTCATACGTACAGCAGTGTATGTAGATTTTCGTGCATTTATAAAAAGACCTTACTGATAGTATTGATATGAACAGTACAAGTACAACTAATGTAATCGAATTAATTTATTTACATTTTTTACAGATTTTTATGCTATCCTCATATCTCATCAACGCGCCGAAGCCGAAGCCGCCGCCACCAATAAAAATACAAAGCCTAGCAATGGATAATGTAATTGCAGTTGAAGTAATTAAGTATGCAGAGTCAGTCTACGACAGGAACAGTAACAAATGCACAGAATAAAAAAAACTGACAGAATATTTCAAACGAGTACCGCATAGATAATTCGAGCAGAAAAACCAGAGAACACTTAGTTGGAAAGATATATTGTTTAAAACAAAAAAAAAAAAAACAAAAAAGAAACTGCATAAAAAATATATGCACGCATATCCAATAAAATACCGCAAACTACAACGATTTAATATCGAATATACATAAATATATGCATAAAAATCATACGAAAAGTAGCAACATAACAGTTACAAATTCATTGTACTCAGAATGGACTCACGCATCGGCCTGGATTATATTGTCGAAAATCGTGAATATATTTCAAAATTAGGCGCTGCCTTAGATACAAATAATGCAGTCGTAAAGAAGCAAGTTTTCGAACTGCTATCAGCTTTATGCGCTTATAATGCAGATGGATATGCACGCGCAATCGAAACACTTGAATTTTATAAGGTAAGTGCTATCAAAATCCAATAGTACATGAAAAACTTACGTGAAAACCCTATAAAACCTATAAACCTAACACATTTAAATTACAATAAACACGAACTAAATATCATTAAATATCCTTTAATTTGACACCGAATAAATTTAGTTACTTAAATAGGTGGTTCAAAATTAAGTGTTTGATAATTTAATGCTTATTTTTTAAGAAAATCTATGTTACCTTAAATTTTTATAAAATTATTTATTATTTTACTTAACTTAATACTTCATTATATTGCAAATATTTTTGGCTAAAGAATGTTCCACAATCAGTCTCTGAAAAGAGCTACATACTAATTCCCAGCTAGATGGGTATTTAAGAGTCCGAATACACTATACGACACTATTTAAATATTAAGTAATTTCGGTTCAGAACTTTATTAAATACTACGAGTACGTATAACAAAATTTAGTAGCAAATCCTAATCCGATTTGCTACGAATAAATTTTTTCAGTAGTACTCATACGGCCTAACAAATTTGAGGCCGCTCACTTCAAAAACTGACTACAGAAAATCGATGCCTAGCAGATAAAATAATCTTTTTAATATACATCTATATACAAAGAGTCTGGTATTAATCTAATAGATTTTTAAGAATTTTTGAAATTTTAGTAGATATTTTAGTAAAGTAAAATCAATAGTAGTACATATTTGTAAATGCAGAGCCGAGTAAGAAATACCACAATCAAACAAAGGACTCTAAATCATTTTCTTCTAAAATTTTGGGAAACACTAGATTGAAACTATCAAGCCAGAAAATTATTTTTTTTTGATGTTATAGTAAATTCTTGATAAATATTAACATCTTTTTAATTTTACATCAGAACCAAAATCTGTAGAATTTTTTTATTTTGATTTTTCTGATCAGTCTTTAATTTTTTTGTTCAATTTTTTGGACCAAATTCTATTGCATAAATTCTTCTTACTACTTCTTAATACTCACGATTCTGTCAATATATACTATTATAATCGATTCTTTAATCAAGTGAATGTGTTAGTATTCTTTCAAGATCCTCTTAAATTTTAAGCGTTTTACTTTAAAATTTCTTTGAAACAAATTTAAAGAGAGATATAGTATATGGACTTGAGCAAGCAGTTTATTTGCAAATAATGTAAGTAGGATATTTAATTTGTGTAGTAAAATTTATATTATATAAAATTTCTGAATTTGAGTAGTGAAAAACAATCATTTAATGTAAATATTAATTATTTTATATTTTAAATTTGATATTCTTTTAAGAATTAATACATATGTATAGTTCAGATTACCGCTGCAAATTGCTAAACCATTACGCTATACGGTCTGTTCGAGTATATTCAAATTTGTGCATTCGGATCGAACACTTGCAACATTTGAAAATACTTAATCTATTCAACGATATTCGACATCCTCGATAAGTAACTTGACATCTATACTGTCTTAACTTTGGCAAGATTTTTATATTCAAATGCAAATACATATTATTTTTGAAGATTGAATGCGAATTTGTATGTTTAGTGAAAAATTGAAAGTACCATATATGCAAAAATCTTGCCAAAGTCTGGTTAGAGCTGACGATAAAAAAAATTTGCTTTACTCGATTCTACATCGATAAGATTTTTATGTTCGAATATAATGAGTTAGATTAGTTAGATTAGGTTACTGTGGCCGTCCAAAGACGCACTTAAACCATGGGGTCCATTGTGTTACCCTTAAGAATTTGACACCTGTCTCTATAACCGTTTTGTACTGGCCACAAAACCATTGACTTGAGCTAGGGAATTTGAATTTTTTTGTCGTAATAAATTGATATAATACAAATATGAACATTTGCATGGAAAAGCAAAAGTGTATGGTAACTAAATCAAAACCTAGCCTGTGTAGACGGTGCGTAAGTTGACACTGCATCTACACTGGCTACACTTCGGCCAGAAATTTTGCATACACTCACATTTTTTCACTAACTCACGTATGCGCTTTCGAACATAAATATTTTGCCTAATGTCAACTAATGTAGATGCGATGTTATTTACGTTTTGTTTTAAACAAATACGTATAACAGTGAATGTTCGAACATCAGAGATATTCGAAAATTTTCGTGTGATTCGTTGTGCTCGATCATTTGACTCGAACATACTTACCGTCATGCTTGAAACTTTAAAAAGCTTGAATAATATTTGTAACACTTATTTGTATACATATTTTTATATTGATTTTTTATCTTAGAATTTAATTTAAATTAATTTTTTTATTTTTATTAATTATTTATTGTGTTCTTTTCTTTTTTACACCTACAGAATCTCAAAAACGAACGATATCGTTTCAAAATTGTCATTAACGAGTTAGAAAAAGCCACAAATGTTGAGTATCAAGCCGCGCTATTGGCTTTCATCAATTGTGTTATTATTTCAGTAACAAGTCTACAAGACCGCATTAGAATACGGAACGAATTCATAGGTGAGTTCAAAAACCTGACTAGCAAACAGTGACAAATCAGTTTAATTATTTCAAAGTGTTTTGTTTTTACATGATTTTCGTAGGTGCAAAAATTATACAAATATCGTAAATGATTTATTTGAACCAATTATGGTTATAAATTAAAACCAAAAAAAAATTATAAAATAATAAATTAAAATGCTAAGTGTAAATTAAAAATGAGAAAAGAAATTAGAAATCATGTTTTGCATTTTTCAAAATTTGATGTATTTATTATGTTCGCAACAGCCTTGACCACGATTGGAGCCACGCAGTCGTCTTATTATCACTCCGCATGCCATTGGTACTGGTGGAAGTTACATAGGTACCTCTGGGGCTCATTCATATCTTACATATAAAACAATAAGTATATTAAAAAAAAAAATTAGGGTTTAAATTAAGTCTTAGCACGTGTATACTTGATTATTTGAACCTTTACGCTTGACAAGTTGAATATTTCGTTGAATAACGAATAGACGAACGATCGTACTAAAAATGATCGATCAGAGCGTTAACATGCAAATTAGGCGCGTTTTGCATTGAATTTTGTTTATTTTGTTTGCATCGCAAACGGACGACGTGTAAAATATGCCCGCAGACCATAATTATTTTTATAGCTATTAACAAATAAATTTTATAGTATTAAAATTTAATTTAATAAAAAGTTTTTATATCCTAACCGAAAACGTTGACTTAAATTAATAAATAAGTTATATATAGTTTGTTTTACTACTGAAGTTTAAGCTTCCGGTCAACTCTCTTAATGTTTTATCATCGAACGAAAAAAATTATTTAAAATTTCTTTCTTTCTTGGCATATATTTTTTATGGCAATGTTCGCGTAGAAATCTTAAAAATTGCGAAAGTCAGGTTACTTAAAAAGGCTTGCTGACGTTAAGATTTTTATTACAATATAAGCCCTCCAAATATGGCCAAGCAATTATAATATATCTACAATATAAATGAATTTTTTTATTGTTTAAATTATTTTTTTTTTTTTCAATTTACAAACCAAAAAAAATTATTCAGAAATTACAAAGCATACGTCAAGTACCTCTTTAAAGTGATTAATACATAAATACGCAGGTGCTTTCAAAACTTAAAAAGACCTATAGACAAATATATTTTTGAGAAAATATAAACAGAAAAGAATGGAAGACTGTTGTTAAACAGGCTTAAGTCCTACATGGACTTTATAGTCACGGATGATAATGATAGACAAATATATTTTGAGAAAATATAAACTACTTATTTTTTAATTTTGCACTAGATTTACATTAGCTGAACCTTAGTAGTAGCCGGTTAGTAGCTTTTTACCGGAATTCTTAACCTTTCAACACGAAGTGACGTCTAGGAAACTTCATTTTTTGCATGCCCCTTTGAAGATATTTAAATTCTCAGCAAATTATTAGATTATTCAATGCCAATTTCAAAATAATATGCTTTGTAAACTTGCAAGTTGCAGTTTATTTGATCTAAATGAAATAGCAGATTCTTTTTAATTTGCGAGTCAAGGGATTACTATTGTAAACTCTGTTAAAGTTAAAGCAAACAATTGTGATGTTTAAGCATTCAAGTGTTTCAGAAGTTTTTTCTATTCGATTCCAAATAAGATTTAAACTGATCTTATTTTTCCAAGATTCTTTAATCAAACTTAAAAATTAATTTAGTGAAAATGAGAGTAAGTTTTATAAGTCTATCCAATGTAGTATATTAACAAATATATCTCCTTCTTGATTCCTTTTTGAAATTCGTTATTCAATAGAATCAATATGAAATCTGCAATAAATTTCAATGCAACAGCCCCATATGTCCGTGCTTAAATTAACTGAATGGCGTTGCAGAATTTCTGTACTATTTGTAGTGTACTTTTTTATCTAAAATTTTCTAAACCAACACTCGTCATAGCTTCTTATCCAGGTTGTAAAATTTTTTTCAATTTACCAAACTCCAATGGTATTCTTTTTTATTCTTTTTTACTCCATGATCTCTAAATTCTCAATGATGATTCTTCACAAAAATGAGTTATTTTCTTGACGTTTGTAGAGCAAATCAAAAACGTTTATCTGTCGTAGAAAATATTTTTCTAAAGAACGTTTAAAATTCATATGTGGATTTTGAAATTAAACCAATGCGTTTCACATGTCTATAAAGTGGCGAATGCGATAAATTTAATCTCTCAATGATCTGAGTTTCTATTTAACTATTTACTTCACTTAATACCATTAATTTTTCTTTATCTGCTTCAAATTACTTTCGAAAATGTAATATATACTATAGGTATATTCAGCATGAAAATTACCGAAATAAGATTTGGAAAACCAATTTCAGCACTGGTTTTCTGTCAATACACCTTCCTCACAAACATTGTTTTTTTTACTTAACAATATGTCTTCATTGAATCGCTTTTATTTAAAGCATAACAATAACTTTTATAATCTTAAAAACTAATAACATTATATTACAAATCATTTTATATATTTAATGTACAACAATGAATTATAAAATTAATTGTAAATTAATTTAAGGGGCCTCTAAATAAGTAGCCAGGGCTTATTTACCAGATATCAAGGCACATAAGTTAAATTAAACAGGATAATCTTTAGGAAAGCAGTATGTCAGGTCTATGATTTTATTTAATTCTAGAAAAATGTAATATATGTATTAGCAAGAGGTCTAACCAGCGGATTCACAAAATTTTCAAGATTTGAATCCGAGTTTTTGAACTCGTCTTTAACCATCGTAACTTTGAAATCGAAATGTATGTTTTCATTTCTGATATACAAGGGTACACCAGTTATCATTCTTAGAATCTGTGCAGGATTTCTACGTTCTACGAACAGATATTGTCGTATATCTGTAAGCCGTACATCCAGATTGGTTTATATAACTTGGTTGTATAATATTTTTATATACATTAAATAAATTTTTACTTGCTTCAACAGCGAATAACAACAAATAATTTATCTTATTTATTCTTTTATATAATTATTGACATGTATTTAAAATTACGTAGCTGGTAGACTGATCAATATTTGTGTATTTGACGTATTGAAGATTTAAATAAATATTTATTTTCATTTCGTTTATAAAATAATAATTCCCGTTTTACATACAATTTTTTTTCATTTCAATTATTTTCTGGCAGTGAAAATTTTATACATAATTTTCATAAATAATGTTTCTCAGTACTACCTTTCCAGATTTAGGTTCTATACATAAGAAAGAATACATAAATCATGCAATAAATAATGCCTCTACAAACAGAACAGTATTAAAATTTAACAATTAAAAATAAAAATATATTGAATTTATTCAATTATTCTACAGCAAGTAAATTTGTTAATAAAACTTTCATAGTGAAGTAGCAAAACTCCAGAAAAATGTGCGAACATAAAAGTCAAGTAAGTTGATTAAGGAGCGCTGACTCTGAACTTCAAATTTGGCAGGGCACGAGTTTGATTCCTAGTAATTGCAGTCTCAAAAAAAAAATTTACGAATAATTATATACAATAATTATTTTGAAGACCACTGATGATGGGTATTTGGCAATACTCGAAACAGCTGTATAGTCTGCCAAAAATTCAATCAATTAAAATAATATAAAAAACAAAAATTTTTTGTTGTTGTAGTTCACTACTTTTGAAAAGTTCTATGTAAATAATTCTTAAAAACATTCTTCTAGAAAATCCGAAATGTAAATAGTGTATTAAACATCCCTCCTACTTTTGCATATAGTTAATATCAAAAAATGTTTAGACTTACACCCTCAGGTGTTAATATTGTTTATAAACACGTTTCAATAAATTGTAATCATTTTTACCCAACCTTTAAAAACACTCATTCATCAATACTTGTAATTGGTTAATTATACGTTTAGTCGAGCAAAAAAATTAATACAATACGAAAAAACAATATATTTGCAATATAGATAATTAATAAAAAAAACCATGGAACTAAGTAATCGATTGCGCTTATAAATTAAATAAAAAATTTTTTATAAAACTGTCACACCAATTGATATATTAACCAAGCGATTTAAGATACTTTATGCCAGAAATGTTAATGAATGATTTAAACATTTAAACATATTAATAAGGAATTAAAGTATTAATAAAAGTTATTGAATTATTGAATTAAAAAGATTTAATTCATAATTAATTCAAATTACTATTTCATTAAATAAAAAAAAATTTATTTATTATTTCTTTTGTTAATTGGATTGTTGGTTACTTAAAGCTACTATAACTGAATAAAATGCAATTGCATGTTGTGAAAGATATTAAGAACTCAAATCAGATACTGGTAAATAGCTGAAACTTTATTTCATCTCAGATTTGAAACACGAAATGCTACTTTAACTGATACTTTTAGCCGTTAAAAGTATTTAAACATATATACATATATATAAATTGGTTAAAACCATAAATAGTCAACTCGTTTATACATTGAAACTGCAAGTAAAAATATTACTATTTTTTTAATAATTTTGTTGATATTTAAAAAGCAATTTTTTTCATTACCTAATTGCTTGTCTAAAAGTCATGGCATGTAAATAACAACACATTTCGCAAATATGCCAAAGTCTCATAGTTTAATAATATTCATATTTAAATATTTAATTGGACAAGCGTTAATATATTATTTTTTACTAATAACTAATTTATAAGCAAAATATGGAAATGCAGAAAACAAAACATATCAATCAAAATTGTACAAATATTTGTATATGTAATTCTCAATTCCTAGAAAATTGAAATTGCATAATTCCCTGGTATATAGACTTAAAGTATTTACCATACGTTTTTGAAATTCTTGTCACGTATAGTTTATATTTGTACCGATCTTTCTTAATGCTAATCGCCTTGAAATTCAATATGTATTTTCAATGCTAAACTATGTGCACACATGAATAAGTGATTTTATGTACACACAACATAAAAGACATATGTCTATATACAAAATAATATATAAAATATAAAGCCGCTCTAACGTAATTATTTCGAAATCACACTAAGATACAAATATACAAATTCTATGGGTATTGGGCTTGAAAGCATATTGAAACAATAAAGCTGATTTGTTTACTTAAGAACTTTCAACTGCAACTCAACTTTACAAATAAAAATTACTATTAATGTTACTATTAATTTAATTGTATAATGTAATGCCATATATTAAGTAATGTGTAAAATGTATAATGAACCTGACTTACATATGAACAAAACGCATAGTATTGGTCGATATATATTTAAGCCCATAAAATCTCTTACAGCACTTTTTTCTTTATTTTTTGTCTTAAACGTTGACAAAGCGCAACTCAATTTATTTCAATTAAAAACAATGAAAATTTAGTGCTGCGTCCATGTCGCCTTGTCCACACACAGTACAGCCCCAACTTAATCCGGGACGCGCTCAATCAAAGTCAACTAACAGTCTACAGAGGTCATGAACCTACAGCTTTTTTTTTTTGTATGATTTTGTACACTTCGATTTGTTGCGACTTTGTTAAAAAATAACGAAAATTAATCTAAAACTTTGGTATTTTTGGGTACTCATCATTCCACTTACAGTCATTTTATTTGATGCGATAATGCGGGTGCGGGTGCTGATGAACGAAACGTGATCATTGTTTTAATTTTATTAACATGCATGTATTAAACACAAAAGACAAGAATACATAATAGTCTTAAATTTATATATTAAGTGTATTTAATATTCCATTGAAACTTCATTTATCTATATTATCTCAATGATCTTAAGCTAATTTCTTAACAGAATTTTAAAACACCCACCCAAACGAGAAAAGTTGATCACTTTGGATGGAGAAGCGTTCAAAAATTAAAAATAGTTAATTTTTATTATTGATAATTACTTTCTCATTATTTTTTATTATATTTTTAAAAGCATACATTTAAATAATGTGACACTAATTGCTTCATTATTTAAACTATAATCTTATTGAACAATCTGCCAAACAAATAAAAAGTATTTTACATAGAAAGTACATTCTTAATTAAAAAAATAATATTTTATACAAAGTTATGTTTATAAAAAAAAAACATTCATTATTCTTACACATAGAATAGAGCAGAAACAGGTTCATTTCACTGATTTGGTTTCTTGACATGATCGTTGCAACTTAGCAGCAACGTTCTTTCTCT